GAGGAAGGGGGTCACTCACTTGCCGATGAGGGGGATGGCTATGGAGGTGGCAGGCAGCCGCTTAGAGATGAGCAGCAGGAAGACAGACTGTGCCAGCAGCACTGAGATTGCCATTGACGTCTTCTCACCACCTGCGGAAGCCTGGACTTAGCCGTGACCTTGGGTCCCAGAGGGTCCCGAGGACCCTGCACCATTGTGGACCCTGCACCATTGTCCGCAATGCCATGGTGCCCTAATCAACACAATAGGCTTTGGAGCTAAAGTGACTGGGGTCGAATCCCAGCTCTGACACTTACTGGCTGGGTGGCCCTGGGCTTGTAGCCTAACTTCTCTGTGCCTCAGTTTTCTCAAGTGTTAGATGTTGTGAGGACCAAGTGAGAGTGTGTGTTAAACGCTGGTCATTCTTCTTGGCACTGGGTAAGACCTCAAGCAATACCGGCTGTCACCATTAGCCAATACCCTGCCGCTCAGCCATCCTGAATCACAGATCTGACGGGTCCCTCCCTCACGCACAGCCTGGCCCTGCCATGTTCCTCCCATCTGAGCTCCTGAGCAAACCATGTGGTGGCCACTGTGGTCACAGGTCCGGGGCCCTGCCCCAGCACCCTTTTTCTATGTGCAATGCACCTCTCACCCTGTCTCAAGCAGGGGCAGGGCTGGGTGGCATTTGTCGCTGGGATTCGCTGTGCCTGCTCTTAGTAAATATTCTGGGGCCAAGTGAGCACAGGTGACACTTGCTCTTCTCAAACCAGGTGAGCGGGGATGCACCTCTCCACACTTTGGTTCCCTAGATCTCTCGTGTCCCCCCACTGACTCAGTAGCTGATGGCTCTGTGTGCCAGGCCCATGGCCACATGTGGTGACCACAGCAGACCTGACTTTTGCTCTGGCAGAGACAGTCTAGGGCCCTTGGAAAGCTTGTCATGGGAGGGAGAAGTAGGGTCCAGGAAGGACAGAACTCCCCGGGGCCTTGTCCATTTGGGGGATGTGGGACAGGGTCAAAGAGCCCTCCCCCTGGCTGGCAACATGCCCCTCATGCCTGGACCCTGGGCAGTGGTGACCCCCAGGTGGCTCCGTGAGCAACTGAGAGGCTGGGCTGGAAGGCCATTGCTCTGGTGACCTAGGGGGCGGGGAGAGGCTGCCCAGGAGGCCTGGGAGCCGGGCTGGGTGCTGAGCTCACAGTCGGCCGGCAGGTAGAAGACCAGGTTGATCATGAAGGAGATGAGCACACAGGGCACCAGGATGTTGATGATGTAGAAGAGGGGCTTGCGGCGGATGACAAGGTAGAAGGTGATGTCCTGGCGGCTGGGGCTGTCCAGCGGGGCGCTGGGGTCCACGTTGATCCTGGCCGGCCGGTGTACTATCTCCCACTCTCCATTCTCTGAGGGCGGCACACAGGCGCCTGGGGGTCAGGCTGGGTGAGGGGGCCAAGGGGGCTCAGGGGCGGGATGAGGGACTGGTGGGGTGCAGCCAGGCCTGTCTGTAGGGCCCTGGGGACCGGGAGGCACTCAGAGGAGGGCTCAGGTTCTGTTTGTGGGTCTTTCCCTGGGGATCGGGATGGAGGTTTCAATCCTGCAAGGGGCACATTTTCCTCTGGGATTGATTTTTTTCCCCTCTCTTTGGAAAAAATAAGCGCTGAGGCCACAGGTGGCTTAAATGAGTCTTGGGGATAACAAAGCAGAGAGAGTGCGAGCCCCTCCCCCAATGTCTGAGAAATCAGCAGGACGGGGTCAACTCTGATGGGTGGGGGGTGGGGGGACTGATGGGGGACCCATAAAAGATCTGAGTCCGGTCACAAGTTGGGGGCGGGGGCACTGGGAAGGGGTGATGTACACCCTATTGGGATGACAGCGGAAGCCCCAACCACACCCCAGACTGCTCTGGGACAGAAGACTAATCCCCCCCACCTGTCAGCCACACCCAGCCCCAGGGACCCTGTTCAGACCCAGAGGGTCTTCTGTCCTGGCAGAGGTGGGGTGGGCACTGGTGCCCATTTGTCTCTGCCACTCCGACACAGTCCCCCCAACTGGTCTCCTTTTCCTTTCAACATGCTGGATTTGTGTCGGTAACTCCGAGGGGTGTCAGGTGTGGGTGCGCAGGCATGTACTGGGGGGGAGGTCAGTGTGCCCGTGTGACTCTGCGGAAGGCCCCAGAGCCTGCCCACCTGTGAAGCCCTCGGGGTCAATGATGATCCACTCCACAGGGTATGAGCGGCCCTCCTCCTCCTCTTGCTTCAGGCTCAGGGTGATCTCCTTGGCCGTGTACTTGAGCGAGCTGGGAGGGCGGTGGGCAGAGGGTGGTCCTCAGCCACCGGCTAGGGCCACTGATGGGGAAGTGTCCCACTGCCTCTGTCTTTGAGGGCAGAGGGGGCATTGTGGGGGAGGGGAGCTCCAATCTGGACAGAGCAGGACCTCTGCCTGGAGGTGGCCCCACCAGGTGCCCTGGGGGGAGGGGTGGCTGGAGTGGTGGGTGCACCTGAACTTGAGGGAGCAGTTCTGCCAGTCGAAGGGGAAGTAAGTGACAGAGATGGGACAGGAAGAGCGAAAGATGGCAGGTGGTAGCCAGTACACATAGCCTGAGTGATGGAGCAGCACGTTGCAGGAGTAGGAGATCTTGAAGGAGCCGTCATTGCTGGGGGCAGGGACAAAGGCCACAGTGAGCATGGGCCAGCTTCAAGCCGGCAGGGTTGAGGGAAGCAGAGGCGGGAGGACAGTCAGAAGCTTGAGCTGCAGGGGGAAGCTAGGGGCGCTTAGGGAAAGGGGGTCAGGGGTGAGGGGGCCAGGGCTGAGGGGGGCCAGGGAGGGCTGTGGCTCAACTTGTTCTCCAGCACGATCTCTGGGAGCCACAGCATGTCAGGGGGCAGGCGCAGGACACTGATGTTCCCAAAGTCGTTGGTATTCCACTGTAGCCGGCTGTCCGTCCAGCCCTGGAGGCCAACAGGAAGTCAGCAGTGGGTCCTGGCCCCTCACTCCCCCCAGCTTCCCTGAGAGAAGACAGGACAGGGTCTAGGGCTGTGACAAAAGAGCTTTGGGGGAGGTGGGGACCCAGGTGTGCTGTGCACAGCTGTGGAAGGTGCGTTATTTCCCTTGTGGACGCAGACTTATGTCAGTTATGAACTTCTGACAGGCCGCAGCGGTCGTCTCCTAATAAAGTCAGGATACTGTGACACTGTCCCATAGGTGAAGACTCCCAATGCACCCAGAGGCTCTGTCTGGGCTAGTGGCAGCACTAGGTGGGGAGGGGCAGCTGGGGGGTTCTCTGTAGGCAGGAGCCAGTGCCTCCAGCAGGTCAATGTCTGAGGCAGGCTGGGGATCCCCAAGCAGAAACGGGCCCAGGGGAGTCCAGCCCTGCACCCTTACTGACCCCCTCCCGCTCTGAGTGGGGTGTTCTCCTTACGTGCTCGATCCACACGTTAGTGGTGAGGGTCTCCTCAACTTCTTTCTGTGATTGAACAGGAGGGCTGTCCCCCAGGGTCCTACATCGCCCTTTCACCTGCTGGCATTCATCAGGCACCTCCTCCCGGCCGCCCCCCGGGAAACCATGGCATTGGCCTGAGCAGACACCTACCCCAAGCACTCAGGAGCAGGTGGGTAGACCAGGGGCTGAAGTGTGTCATGGGTGTGATGGGGGGGGCACCCCAGAGTGGCAGCCGGCGGGGAGGGGCATCAGCCCAGGGCCCAGGGGCCAGCACAGGGCATGGAGAGAGGAGCTGCCACAGGCTGCCTGGGGCCTTGAACTTCCTCCATGGCCATCCCAGTCCAGGAGAGAGCCAGGCCTCAAGGAAGCTGTCCCTGCCGTCCAGTCCCTGGCTCAGCCATGGAGGGGCCACTCACCAGGGAGATGAGGTTGGAGAGGGTGAGGGCCAGTGAGATGTCCACGCTGTCCTCTTGGTGAGCCACAGGCCGGAGCTCCTTGTTGTAGCCCTTCTCCTTGAAGAGGTACTGGATCAGCCGTTCCTCCTCATTTAGACCCCAGCTGCCTGGGGACAGATGGGGACAGGGTCAGGATGCTGGGCAGGGGCTCAGAAAGGAAGCTGCCCTGAGGTCTTGCAGGGGCATCCAACCAATCTATGGAGTGGGGCCCTGGTGGTCGGCCCTCCAGGGAGAAGTGGGAGTGGGAGTGGGAGTGGGAGTGGGAGTGGGAGTGGGAGTGGGGAGGGGGCTGGAGGCCGGGGGTGGAAGCACCATGTAGGATGGCCAGGAGGGTACCATACTGTGGGGAGCCGGGGGAGCCCGATGATGTCCGATCTTACCACACACCACCAGGGTGGCCAGCAGCCCCAGTGTTAACACAGGCCCCTCCATCCTGTCTCTCCAACGAGGTCCTGTGTCTGCTCCTCCTGTGCACTGGGCTGGGGAATGTGGGTGAGTGGCAGAGGGGACAGGTGCAGAGTGGGGGTGGAGGAGCCAAGGGAAGAGGCAGCCGGAAACGAAATTGGATATCTCTAGGCTCTGCTGCAGGGTAGGGGCAGGTGGCGAGGGGGTGGGGACAGGGACTGGCTAGCTGGACAGAGGCCCAAGGACATGAGGCGAAGATCCCAGGCTAGGAGTCCCACCGCTAGCCGTGGGGGTGAGGCTGGGTGGAGGCATTGGACGCTAGGGGCAGTGCTAGTCAGCCATGGCTTGGGGAGCGGTGACAGGCAGATCAGCTGCCATTTCTTGGGAGGCAGACAGGTCTGCTCAGATGGGGGTTTGGCAGCCCTGTCCTGTGTCTTTGTGACCTCTGCCCACTGCTTCTGGAGGCTGGGCCTGCCGTGCAGGGGCCCCACTCCCAGAGAGGTGATACCCCCTCCCCCCCCAGTTCCCATCCCAAGAAAGCTCCAGAGTTGTCTCTGTACATCATAAATAACATTTATTAAAGCAACTGTAATTTTCTGATGACACATCTGGGGAGACACATGCGTCCCAGGGCCCAGGACCCCTGCCCCACCTCACACATATGGCCAGCTGTAGCAGTGACAGCTTGTCATCATGCTCTCTGACCCTCTTAGCCCCTGGGAGCAGCAGGTCCTGACGAGGGGCTGGGGGCCCAGACGTGGCTCATGGCTGCCTGGCTGGGAGAACCTGAGGGCCAAGTGGGCGGTGTCCCTGCCCCCCCAACCCTCGGATCTGCCTTGCACCCTTCTGGGCTCCCTGGGGCTCTGCCCTGGCCTGAGCAGCCACGCGGAAGGCCTGCAGGGCCTGCACCAGCAACCGGGGGAGGCTTCGAGCCAGTGTGGCTGGCTCCAGGCCCACCAGGCCACCAAAGACCACATGTTGGTCCCCCAAGCTAACCCGAACCCAGGCTCGAAAGAGCCCTGTTATTGTCTTGGAGCTCAGATCCGCCAGAACCTGCAGAGGGAGGAGGTGCTCAGGGGCCCACTACCCTACCCTTGGTCCCCTCCTCCTGGCCCCTCAAACTCTCACCCAAACCCAACCCCCTTCCTTACAACCCACAACCTTGCAGACTTCCTGCTCACTTGGACACCCCCATGAGTCCCTCTACTCACACCTTCCCCCTCCCAGCACCCCTTCACACCCACCCAGCACCCTAGCTTACACACAGCTGCCCTCCCCACCCCCTTCCCCTTACACCCCTCCCCCAAGGTTGCAGGGGGGAAGGTCCTCACTCCTGCTGGGGAGGGTGTCCCCTACCAATCAGGGCTGACCCAAGTCTGCATTCAGAGGCCACTGTGAAGGAGTCTGGGAAGCCAGGGGACCTACCTCCTGGAAGTCCATGGCCAGGCGCTCTGAGGGGACCTGCAGGATCCAGGCATGGGTGGCCTGGAGGGTGGACAACTTCTGCTGCAGGGGCTCCAGGCCAGGGCAGTCTGCAGGAAGGGAGAGGCACCAGCCCGGAGCTGGGGTGCATTCCCACCAGTACCTCAGGACCACCTCCCAGGGGGCAGCTTCTCACGCTACAGATGGGGAAACTGAGGCTCAGAGAGGTTAAGTGATAACACAAAGCTGAGCATTTTCTGACACTGATGAGGGCCCAAAGCCACAAGTAGCCCAGTCATCTCCCTGCTTCGGGGGAGGGGGAGAGCGGGTCTGCGGGTTGCCCCAGGGATAACTGCTTCCCAGGGCAGATCCCGGGAGACGCCCCCACCCCCACCCCGGCCCTAGGCCCGCTCTTGGCCCACTCCCCTGGCGATGGCCGGCAGGGGGCGTAATTACCGCGCGCGTCTCGGCTCTGCCGTAGCCTCGGCTTCGGGAACCCGGCGCCAGCAGCGGGCGATCCTGGGGAGACACGCGGTTAGGGCAAAGCCCCTGCCGCGCAGGGCTGGGGCGAGGGCCGGGCTGCGAGGGCTCGGGGTACCTGGGCGCAGCCGCTGCTCGCGGGCCGGGTGCCTCGCAGGC